TATTTGGATCGATCTATCTCCTTGGGGAGTCTCACTAATTTGCTATCAACTTAAGTGGCTTAAATGTCTGTCACGCCAAGTAAAGCTGTTAGGGGGTAATTATCTTTACCCCCTAGCTGATTCGGTAGACTTGACAGACATTTAAGCAATTTAGTGAGACTCCCGAGGGAGTTAAACCAATCCAGATGGATCGATCTAGGCATGGGAACCCAGTCTAAGGCTGTCACCTACCAAAACAACACAGTCAAAAATAAATAAATAAATAAATAAATAAATTAATTAATTAATTAACTCGATGGTGGAAGTAATTACACAAAACTCAAGGGGTGAAGACTGGGTGTGGTAGGTAAAGAGAGGAGAGAAATCAGAAATCTTCCCTAGCATTTTTTTCCAAAACAGAATGGCCTACATCCCTGGAGGAAAAGACACATGCACTGAGCCTGCAAAATCATATTTCATGTATTCAATGCTGTAAATATAACTGAACCATTAAAAAAATGTCCATGCAGCAGGGGGGGCAAAATAATCTAGGGTTCCCCTATTCTTTACATCCTAGGCATGATGCTGAGAACGACTTTTCCACCTCTACTGATATTTCAAACCATTTTCAAGTACAATCAGGTCAGGGTAGAGTGAAATAAATAAGCCAGCAGTTTAATGAATAATGGATTTTTATTCTCTTTTGGATGACAAGCATATATTTGGAAAATATGATGGGGGTGCCATTAAACAGCAGATTATTTCTTACAGGTGAAGTTGAGGCTAATTCAACCAGTCTCAAAACACCTTATCCAAAATGAAAAAAAAGAAAAGAAAGAAAAAAAAAGAAAAGGAAAGAAAAAAAGTGGAATATTAAATGACAAATTCCAATCAAAGCCATGTAGAAAATACATTCTAATTTTTTTACACAGGTGAAGGCTTTGCTGAATATCAAATTGGATTTATTTTCTTTGTATATATTAAAACCATTAAGATTATAGTGAAAATTGGTTCGGTAGGTGGCGACATGTGGATCAAACCTGTGAAAAATGAAGACTCTTTTAACTTCACTTCAAACTAATGAGAGCAGGGGTCTAGATATTGTCTTCCCCCTAACCTGTCAAAGACAAAAATAACTTTTCAATGGTACTCATACCTACAATATACAAAACTGACAAACAAAGAACCAGCATCAAAAGTGACAATTATTTGCCCATATTGTCCAGGCCCTCTCCCTCAGATAGGAATGAGGTCAAGGGGTTCAGAAGAGACATCCTTTTGGCCAGAAAGGTCTTCTCTTCATCAAAATTTGATCTAGGGTCTATGTTTTTTCCCAAGTTGGATCAATTAAGGGGTGAAAAAGTCTGTTTTTTTTTTCAATGAAAAAAAAAAAAAAGAACCCCTGCTTTGAAATTGCGACTACATGCCTGGTTATATCACTTAAAGATGTCAACTTAACTTGTTCAGTAGGTGAAACTTTATGAAGGATTTAACATTTCAAATTAAATCTGCAAGACGGGAAGAAGATGACTTTAAATGTCATCCTAAATGTTAATGGCTGTGATACACTTAGCAAGTCACACAGAGTAAACAGGCAGATGCAAACATACTTCAGTTCTACTTTATACCAGATGTCTTTTGGACAGTGCCAATAACATTTCCCCTAAGCAAAAACGGGCAAACAGTGGGTAGAACTTTTTAGTTCCAGCAATAAAAAGATATAGCATCAACATTTTACCTGTAATACTTGACTATGATTGGATCCTAGTACTTGGTCAAGATTGTGGGTTTAATTGGTTGTAAACTCTTACTAGTACAACAAACTTTTACTAATTTTAGCTGAGAATCTTTTTTTTTCCTTCTATAACCTTAGGTAATGGTTGAAAGCTCTTAGAACAAACTTTCACTAATTTTAGCTGAGAATCTTTTTTTTTCCTTCCATAACCTTAGATAGATTTTAAGGAATCCCCCTCACGTCTTAGTCTTGAAATATAAAACCCCAGATTGAGTATCGATAATTATTAAGTGATGTGAAGAAGAATAGTTTACGCCAAATAATAATATAGGACACAAAATTTTTACTAACTTTAGGTGAGAATCTTTTTTTTCCTTCTGTAACCTAGGAACCTTAAAATCCACTCAGATCTGTCTGTGTGTCCATCCATCCATTAACTCACCTATAAGTATGCATGCACACACGCACACACACACACACATGCACACACACACACAAACACACACACATCCATACACAGAGTTTTGGTCTGATTTTCGATAGACATACTTATCATTCATCTGGTTTTACTAATACAGTTATATAATTTCAATAGACTGAACACATATAAGTGAGAGCTTTCTGGCAAATATGCCAATAACTATTACTCCTTATCATTATTCCTAACAAATGTTATTACTTCAGTCAATCTATTCCCTTGTGTGCTTTTTTATCAAATGTGACAGATTAGTTGGGGTCATTAGGTTAGACGAGTCAGATATTTCACTTACTAGTTTTTCTTCTCTAAAATTCCCAAAAGGAGAGAATCTGACTCTCTTTATTAGCCAAAACTCATTATTTTGTGCAATAAGCATGATTTGAAGCTTATAGAACATACATACACTTTCTTGGCTTTTCACTTATGTCGTTTTTTTCTTCTTTTCTTGCTACATGCTTTGGCATTTAATCATTTAATTTGAATGCTTCATAGGAATTCCTCTATGCTTTCTCATGTTTCAGGTGACAAGCTCCACGTCAACCTACAACATCAACTGAACATATCTTCTTATTTGAAAGACAATACATAAAAAAATAGGTTCTTTTTTGTACCAAGAAAATATAAATCATAAGTGACAGGTGAAATTAATGAACTTGTCAAGGAAAATTAAGAATGCTATGGCTCATGAGCATTTCAAGTTGTTGAGAAATAACATACAGCTCTATGGGAATGGTCAGTTGGAATTTCCAGCATAAATAGCAAAAAGTTTCAAGTGTTTGCACTCCTATAAATTACATTTTATAATATATATGCCAGTATATGAGCTAATGCATGAAATATAGTGAGGTGCACATAACTGTAAACTAAAACCCAATCCACAATTCCATGTTCGTGTCTCTCTCAATCTGAACTCTCAGATATTACTCCTGAACTTCTTATATACAAATTCCTTATCTAAGGTGGACTCAGTGCTACACTATTTCAAGGTGCATATTAGTTTTAATTACTCAAATTGCACACGTCCACTTGTGAAACCATAAAATGAGTCGAGTGCACAAAAAAGCAATTCCATTTGTGAACTGAACAAGCAAAAAACCATTGTGGTGATGGGGCTCTTTGCACCAGGAACTTCTTCCTATGTTGAACCCATTGATGGTGGACATGAAGTTCGCATGGAGATCCCATGATACCAAGCTTACAAAAAGGACCTACCCCTGCGAAAATTTGTCTCATTTAATGTTCACTTACAGTTCTCAATCTATTCTATAACATTTGGTGTAATTTTATTTATTTACTTATTTATTATTATTATTAGTATTATTATATACAGTTTTGTTCTAATGTTGTTCTGTAATGAATGTAACAGTACGAGAACAGTTTTTGGGAAGTCTTCTGGAATATTTTGGAACAGATTAAGAACATTTTCATTAGAAGAGGAAAATATTAGGTTCTAGGACAGATTGCGAACCGTAAGTGAGCAATAAATGAGACAAATTTTCGCAGGGGTTAAGTACTAGTACGTCAAATCCACCATTTCAGTATTTAACACAGGTTCTGAGGACTGCATGGCAGGATCTCAGGAGGCATAGTATTGACTGGGACTACCTAAATTGCGCAATACACCGCAATACAGGGCAATACACTTGAAAAAAACGAGTCCAGTCACAAGTAAACGGTCATTCTCAACAAAATAGGCTGATATGAGAGTGAAATATATTACTAAATAATAATTAGCCTTGATAAAACGTAACAAATTTGCACATTTTGTTTATCGTCGGGTCAACCGCCATGTTGGTTAGTGGCTCTTCTTGGCCGGTAATATTGTCAAGAAGAGCCACAAGCCAACATGGCTGCCGACCCGACAACATTAGAAGTAGTGCTGATGTGTTTGTTATATCAATGACATCAATAATCTAGTCAAATATATTGCTTTTATATCACCTTATTATGTTGAGAATGACCTTTTTCTGTGTTTACTTGTGACTGGACTTGTCTTTTCAAGTGTATTGTGCTGTGTTGCGCTGTATTGCGGTGTAAGTGTATTGTGCTGTGTTGCGCTGTATTGCGGTGTATTTCGTAATTTAGGCAGACCGGTATTGACTGTATATATGGGATTTAGAAACAAACACAGGAGGATGTTGCTTGGAAGTTGGAAGATTGGCATTAGGTGTAAGCCTCGCACTAGATTTGACTCACTTAGGACAGACTAAACCCAACCACTATAAGTAAATGCGGACTTTCTGTTACATGGACCCTCAGTTTTGTTACACCGAACCAGTTAAGTGTACCGCCCCGCATGAAAAGGGCTTTGGAAGTTGGACTAGGCGGTAAGTCACAGCCGGTCGATGACACGCCGAAATACCACTAAGTTTAAATTGAACTGCAAAAAAACAATTTCAATGTCTCTATTGACAGACTATATTACGACAATTATTATGAAACGTTACCCGTTGTTACGAACGGATCCTAACTCCGCAAGGCACAAATGAATACATTCTAAATGAGACTGCTGTTGCCGCTTGCAGAAGAATGACCTTCACCTTGATGCCGGTTACCGCAGACAATATCACTTAGCTTTCTGATTTGTCTGCATGAATCATGACAAGCCACAACATGGCGTTCCTATATCGATCTTTATTTCGATTCTCTTGAAAATCAAATGTTTTTGGAGAAATAAAATAGATATATTACTTTAATTTTTGATCACTTATTGACAAAGTTATATCAATCTACATTTATACGCACAATAATATCAAATATGAGCTATTTGAGTTTGTCAGTCATCATGAATTTTACTGAAATGAACCAATGAGAAATCGACAGCAAGTCGGCTTCAGGCCTGCACGGGAAAGATGAGGGCACTACTGTTTGTGTGCATTTTCCTAATTTTTGAGCAATATGCAGAATGTGCAGCTAAGAAGAAGGAGGTAAGCAACCACATCAGTAAAGGAAATGTTTCAGGGGTTCATTTCACCCTGTTTCCATGCAGGACCAGCAAGTAGTGACACTTACACAGTGCATTCCCTGCGCTTGACACTGACATGGACAAAGTGACAGTATCAATGACGATGCTTGCAGGTGCAAGCTACCTGCTTCATTTTATAATTAATTGTGATAAAAGGGCAAATATGTCAGGCTTTATGCCTAACTTTGTTTCCCTTTTACCAGGGTATACGATCACTAGGAAATCAGTGTAGTGTCTTAGAGTTCCCTGTAAAGCTGTGTCCCTGATTTTATTTTAATTTTTTTTAATATCCACTTTAATCTCTGAACTTCTTTTTCTTTTTCTTTGAAGCAAGTCATTGCAGAGAAGTTAGAAAAGTTGACCGAGTGGAGTAACAGAAGACCCATTGTACGCCTCAACGGGGATAAATTTCGCCAGTATGTGAAGTCTGTCCCCAAAAATTACTCTGTGATTCTCATGTTGACTGCATTAAGGCCAGAGAGACAGTGCATGGTCTGCAAGTAAGTAATTGAAGTTGGCTTGAAGATTGTATGACCTTAGTTCAAGATAAATAAAACCATTCCTTATGTGCAAAAATTCAAAGATTCTTGTAAGACTTACTGTGTGGAGCCACTGTATCAACAGTAATAATTTGTTAATTTGATAGTATATGTGCATTCATATCTTGGAAATGATGTTGTTAAGTTGACAAAGAGAAATCACTATCCACATCCTTCATATGTAGTCCTGGTTTTATCTTAGCTATCTTTCTTTTTCATGATGCACCAGAAATGTGTAGTCCATTGTTGTGTTTCGTTAGGAATTTTATGCCAACATGTTTCTACAAATGCAGTCCAACACACTTTATTTTCAGACAATCCAATAAAAAGTTCATAGTCTTCCAAAGTATTTCATGATGTATCAGATGCACTTGAAACAGTTCTATCTGTGTTGTTATTCTGTTAAACAAATGCACAATCCAATGCTTGTGTTCTCTTGTCTCAACAAACACAATCATACAGTGTTGTGCTGCTCCATCTCAACTAACACAATCCCTTCATTTCCAGACAAGCCAATGAGGAGTTCAACATTGTGGCTGCCTCCTGGAGGTATTCACAGCAGTTCTCTAACAACTTGTTCTTTGCTATGGTAGACTTTGATGAAGGCTCAGATGTGTTTACTTCTGTAAGTTTACAGTAAACTATGAAAATAATTATTTTCTTTTGATCATAATACTAATAGATTGCTATTTTAAGTGGAAAGTTGTTTAATATCTAAAAGTGGTGTAAAAGGTATTAGAAAATAAATTATTTATTATATCTTAATTATACTCAGTAGTAGTTGATTTTGCATTTTCAGGGTGACACAAAGGCATAGCATATTCAAGCAACACAAGCACTATGAGATTAATAGATCATATAAACTTTTTCACAAAATATAAATGTGATTAAAACTGCCCCTGCAACTGTGGTGTGGATTCAGAACTTACCATTTTATGTATTTTATTTTATTTTTTCAGCTGAAATTGAACTCTGCCCCTGTCTTCATGCACTTTCCACCGTCTGGGAAACCAAAGAAGGGAGATACAATGGACATTCACAGGTGTGTGTGTGTGCATGTGTGTGCATGTGTGCATGCGCTGGGGGGGGGGGGTCAGGATCAAAAGGGGAGTTCACTCACTGTGGCAGATTTGTTTGTTTTAAAGTATGTGTATTTACATATGTGAGGATGGTAAAGGAGTATGAGACATAACTGGAGGGGGAGGGGGGATGTGATCAGTGTGCTTGATGATAACAGTTGTATTATACTTGTATTTTTAGGATTGGTTTCTCTGCTGAACAGATAGCCAAGTTTGTGAGTGAGAGGACAGACATACATGTAAGTCAGATTTGAGAAATCATTGTGTTGTAGAAATTAACATACAGAAGGTGTCAGTTGCTAATTGCTAAATGAAAATGTGTAATTCTTTCCAAGTATAAGAAATGCAAAGCTTACCAAAGAAGTCAGGTGTTAAATATCTGATTAATTGTTTATTTATGATGAAAATTTGAGAAAAAGAAAATAAAACACAGTAGTACGAAGAAGAGCTTATATCAAAAGTAATTTTTAGCAACTGTTCTACTGCGGTTATAACTTATGAATTTCTCTTTCAGATTCGGGTATTCCGGCCTCCTAATTATGTTGGCACAATGGGTGTCCTGCTGCTGTTCATAGTGATAGGCGGTCTTCTCTACCTGAAGAGAAACAACTTGGAATTCTTGTACAATAAAACTCCTTGGGGAGTGGCATCCCTGGTTAGTAATAGGAGGCATGCTAGTAGTGTTGGTCCTGTTGGTCTTGATCAATATAATTTTCAAGGAATGGTGGAAATTTGTGTTCAGCCAGTCTAAGGAACTGACAACAATTTTAATTAAAATCCATTTCAGTTTACAGTCAGTGCAGCGAAGTTAACTTATTTCTGGCAAACTTTTCATAACTGTCGTTTCGTATGACTGACTGTTTAAAACATATTTCAACATGTCTAGGAATTGGATATTTCCAAAGTTTTTATGTGACACAGTGAAAAGCAGGGTAAGTTGGGGGTGAGTTACGTTAAGTAGGTTGTATCTGGTTTTCACCTTATATCTTTTCAATTTCAGTCCATCATATTTGCCATGACCTCTGGCCAGATGTGGAACCACATACGAGGACCTCCGTTTATGCACAAGAACCCACAGACTGGACAGATAGTGAGTTGAGATATTAAGGGTGTCACACACTGTGGTTCACAGCTTGGAAATGGGTTTTTCTTCTGTTTGGTTTATATGACATATATCATTTTAAGCAGTTGAAATCCAGGGTTCAACTAGAATGGAATTTTTATTGTTTTTTTGTCAGTCTTTGATAAACTTTGATTTAAACTAATAATATCAAGAGAATTATGTGCATTGGTGCACTTATAATTTTGATGAAATATAAATAATTATATTTGATATTATAGGGGTACATAGTAACCAGAAGTGATGGCCAGTTCATTGCAGAGACTTACATAGTTCTGTGTTTAAGTATCCTAAACTTAAGACACAGTTTTTAATTAAAAATATATAGCTATTAGAGTGGGGTGTAGCCTTTTGCCTTAACATTGTGAAAAATGTTGTGTCTTCTTTTCTTCTATAAACAGAATAAGCATTCATGATGGCATATTTTTTTACAAAATATTTTAACCAAATACTAAATGTAACTTATTTTTGCGAAAAAGAATATGAAAGTAAGATTATTTTTAGTATGCCAGTTTTAATGATTTTGACACAACATTTGACTTTAAATTTGGTAAAATTTTCTGCTGATTGGCTTAAACAAATTTTTAATTAGAAACAGCACAGGTACTGTAGCCTTGTTTCTTTCATATTGCCACCTGTACTCAATAGTGATGAAATCTTGTTTCTGTTTCATCCAACTGCCTGTGTTTTTTTTTTCATTTCACAATATCATATTTCTGTATTTTTCACTGATTTTCATCTGCAAAGAAGGCAAAAATACATCATTGGTTGTGTGCTTAATGATTTTAACTGTAGAAAAAACTGGGGTCAGGGGCCTGTTTTACAAAAGAATTTTAGTCCAAAATTTCTGGATTTTTTTCTTCTTTGAAAACATTCACCCAGAAAGAGTTTGGGGTGAGCAAAGTGACAGAAATCCATCAAAGGGTGCAATGCTTTTTTTTTTTTTTCAAGTCACATTCAAATGCTTTAGGTCTGGGGTAATCCTAGATAGTGGTAGAAAGCAGGCATTGCTCTCTTTCAGAATTGTATGCAAGGTAGGTACACGTAGACACCTAACTGGGAACTGTGGGTACATTACCAATGCTGTCACAACATTTATATCACAGCTGACATCAAAAAGTGTAGGACAGGAAAATGAAAGTAAAGCTAAAGAAAAGGGGGGGGGGGGGGGAGAAAGTAAATTAGTGACAAACTTTTGCAGTGATTATGCCTGTCCTCGCTTTTGATCACCTCTGTGTTCGAGTTTTTGATCGCCTCTGTGTTCCAGTTATTAGTAAGGTACACCCAGTTCACTTTGTAAAGTGTCTGTGTTTCCTTACCACAAACACCTCCAATTATCATGTAAGTAGCTTTTGCCACCTTAAAGCTTTTAAATAGTATGCTTTCATTTTGTTTTTTTTTTAACTCAAATTTCAGATGTATGTCCATAACAGCAGTCAAGGACAGTTTGTTGTGGAAACTTATATTGTCATATTTTTAAGTATCCTTATTATTGGTTTACTCTGAATGCATTATTTGCAGTGGTGTGTCTGAATTAGTAATAGTTTAATGCTTTTTGACTAAAGCTTTCTTGCCTTGCTTCAGACTTACTGTTTTTACATGCAACTCTTAACTGAAATATATTAAAATTCGAAGCTAAGGATGGAAATAGTTAAGTATGATATAACTATTCAACATTACTGAGGTGTTGTTTCTAAATCAATGGCTGCAGTATATTATATGAGAGATACACGAATTCCTTAACCCACTGTTCAGATGCTGCTGTAGTCATAGGAGTTATCCTGATGAATGAAGTGCAACATATGAAAGCAGATGCTGGAAAGAAACGAAGTAAGTACCAGTCCTCTGAAAATGTGAATTTGGTCAAAATCAAACTTATATGATTTTTTTCCATAATCCTTCAGAATCTATATTCTTTATTTTGTTTCAATCTAAAAAATATTCAAATCTAATTTTTAATGACATTCCAGCTTGTAAGTCACCATAAACAGAAATATCCTGATTGAATCTACTTTGTGTTGTTAAAAGTCACAGTTGCACCAGAAAAGTAGCAACATTAATATTCTGGTCTTAAAAAAAAATATTCAAGACATTGACAAAAGGTCTGAAGATAAGTTTTAAGTCTTGTACTAGTATGTAATTTTTTCCAGTTCTAGCTCTGGTTGGTCTAGGAGTGGTAGTGCTGTTCTTCAGTTTGTTGTTGTCAGTATTTAGACAAAAATATCAAGGTTATCCATACAGGTGAGGTGATTTTATCTTTAATTTTTTTTACACACAAACGCGTACACAAACTGTCATGTTTTACTCAACATCAGTTTTTAATTTGTAAAAAATAATAAAATAAAGGACACGTGTAAACAGGTTGTGATATACATTGATGAAATAATTTGAAAATTTAACATGTTCATTATCTTGCTGCTCTTTTCTTTCATACATCAAATTTTAAAAATTAACAATCATTTTTTTTCCCTCAGTTTCCTGATCAAGTAATGGCATTCACAGAAACATCTATTTACAGTCCAAGCGAGAAAAGATGATTGTTGAAATTACAAAACTGATGAAAATTTGATTGCACATCTCACAGTTGAACAATGGCTTTCCCACATTTAATAATATTTGTACGGGTGAGATTCCTAGATATTCGAGGAAGATTTGTTACAGTTAGTGCAGTCAACCAAAAACTGATTTCTGTAACTAATAAAATACTTTTTTAACAAACTACTTTTCTGATATTTTCATTTTCATTAAAACATGATTATTTTATGTGATTTTTACTCTCAAAGCCTCAACACAAGAAATATTCTTACAATCTTTTACAAGACCTGGGCGTATTTCACACGAAAACTCGAACCAAAAATCAGTCAACCAAGACTGATATCTATCTTTGGTAGCCAACTTACTGCTTATCTTTTTACTTTAAAAAAACTTAAGTAATAACCCGAAAGTGAATAGTGACTGTCTTGAGAATGATTTTTACTCAGTGGGGTTAGTTCAACTAGATGTTTATCGTGGGCCAGTGCTTCATTAGCCACTCTTGTAAAGTTGAAAGGGCATTTAGTTCGTTAAAACAAGAAGTTATAATGAACTTCTTGGTTAAAAAGAGTGTAGCAAACTTGACTGAGACAAAACTTTTGATTCAAATTATGAAATGGAACCTATGCTAATGATAAACTGCATGTCAATTAAAACTCATTAAATCAACAAATAAAGAGTAAAAAGAAATTAACAGCTTCTATGTTTGTCAATTAATGGACTTCTGCGGGATCTTTGTGGTCAGGCATACTTGGAACTGCCAGTTTTTGGTCAAGTGATATTTAGTTTACTATATCAGCTATGCTATTTTACCACAAATAATTGATTTTTTCTTAAGGAATTAAAACCCCAAAACTTTAGAAAAAATATGTGGCGTTTCACTGCAAAATTTCTTTGAACCCCCCTAACTTCTTAATGATCATTTCATAGTGACAGACTTGAGAGAAGTTTTGAGTAAGGGGAGAGGTGCATATGTTTGTGTTCCTTTTCTCCTCAAGATGCACTTATAGGCTTCGTTCACATGCAATGTCTATTTTCTATTTTCTATTTTCGGGATGTCTTATGATCACGGTCTGTGCACTGAATATCCCGCGGCGTAGCGCGAGCCAGTTACTATAAGTTACTATAAGTAACTGGCTCGCGCTGCCAGTAATTACGCGGCGGGATATTCAGTGCACAGACCGTGATCATAAGACATACCGAAAATAGAAAATAGGAAATAGACATTGCATGTGAACGAAGCCTTAGAGTCCATTAGCTCCAGCAGCTTGTTATGCAAGTTAATCATTGCCTCATTAAGGAGTAAAAGAAACATATCAATGAAACATTGCATTGTAGTTCAGTAGAGGGATTCTAAAAAGAGGCCGTTTAAATTTTTGAAAATTGAAAAGGTCATATCCTTACAGTGCCAGATAAGCCAGGATTTGGATAATCCTGTTCTGAAAAGCCATGGATCTAAAAACCATTATTATTTAACCTTGTAAGCTTATCCATGTTATACGCTGTCTTTCCAGTTGAATAATATATAGATTTGAGCAGGTCTCTATTATGGCTAGTGGCGGAATGGAGAGTACCTGTAGCTACCTCAGGGCAGTGATAAGCTGATAATTGACTGTCAGCGAAGGACCCAGTATATGTTCAATTACTGGGTAGATTGAGTCCTTTATATATTTAATCTGTAATACAGAGACCAATTATTGCTTGGGCTCACTGTTACGTGTTACTGGTAGGGGAGGTGCATACCGTGAATTTCAGTTATATTTGAAGGTATTTTGGTTTGAATTTTGGGGTCTATAAGGGTTAAGAGGCTTTACCAGAGAGTATTAGTTTATATGGGACTGCCTGGCAGGTCAAAGAACAAGGAATAGGAGTAAAATCTTTTTTTTTTATTTTACATGTCCTTATCAAAAGTTTGTCTCTGAATTGCAGTAGAATTTCCTTAATTAAATACATTCAGATTTGAAAAACTTTTCACAACAAAAATCAACAACAAAAATATTAATCCAATACAAATAAGTGACAAGAAAGGAGTATAGCTTGTACCAGGGTCACAGATTGATTTTTCACAATATCTTCACAGATATGTCTCTGGCATATTCTTGTCATAAATGACTGCTGTATAAAAGTGCACATAATTATATGTGGCTCTGGTAGAAGTTAAGAAAGAAGAGATCAAAATTTTTTTCAGCGAGTAGTGGAAATATTGAATAACTTAAAATATTTATATAGGAAGTCTTTTTATACAATAAAATTGGGAAAAGGTGTGCCAGAGATTCCAAAAGGGGTTATGCATGACCACCAATGAAGTTGGTTCTGCATTTTAACCGTAGATTTTTAATTTTGTGTTACTTTTGCAAATAATTTAATCAGATAAAAGGGTGACACTTCCTCATTAGGCCATGCTGAAAGAGGAAAGGTCTTAATTAAACATCAATGGTGTGAGAATAAAAGATATAAAGGTGTAAATGTACACAGTTCAATATTGGCATAATCTGAAGTTGGAGATAAAAAGTGTGAAGAGATTTGTGTCATTGCTGAAAATTTGACAGCACAAACCAAACATTAAAATATTTCAAACATTTCTTTGGCTATGCCAAAGATTCTGCAAAAGGCAGGTGGCACAAGAAAAAAAAACAAAAAAACTTCACTTTGTTTGGCAAATATAAAGAAGACTTGGGAAATTTTACTCTAAAAAGTTGTTGGACAAAAACTGTTTAAAAAAATTGCTTGTTTTTCTCTTCAGTATACTGTTTTCTTTGAGAAGGTGAAGGGGTTATGTTCAGAGTTAAGGGGCGAGTGGGGCATAGTTGGCCATTGAAAGCTTAAATTTCAAAGTTTTTTTTTTACTGTAGTAAATCAGTTTGTTTGGTGATTCAAAATATATAACCATGGTATAAGCAATACAAACAACCAACTTTCTTAGGTTGGTTAACCACATGCTGTGGACTCAGTTTAATAAAAAGCATTCAGTGTCCATTATGCCATTCAAATACGAACATCCAAAGTTGAAGCACCATACTTTTCACCTCTGTTCATGTTGTGTTTTGGACAAAAGGCTACCTTTTAACCTGGTGAAAAAGTAAAAATGATACCTTTTAAACTGGTGAAAAAGTAAAAATGACAAAAAAAAAAAAAAAAAAAAACGCTGGTTGACCAAACAGCTAAATCTCATTCCTTATATTTAAACCAGTGACCCTTGTCCATGTCTAAAGAGTTAATGGGTAAAACAGACTAAATCACACTCAAGATTTTTTCTTTGATAATGGAAATAATATTTATTGCTAATACAAGAAGAACAATTTTTGCATTGACTAAACAAGAATCTTCAGCTATGTGATTTAATTAATAAGGTACACTACAAGCATAGTTATGTAATTAATAGATACACTATTAAATAAGTTTACAGTAAATGAGAACAAAATGAGTTGAATAAACTGTTAAATCAGAATTTCTATAATTTTCATTTTACGCAGTTCAAAACTTGATTTTCCATGCAATAACTTTATTTCCTCTACTCGCATTAATCAAGTCCTGCAAAACTATAGAATATTTACACAGAGTATTAATTAGGTAACTTAAAGGTAGTGATTACAGACACAGTGGCTAGCCCCCATCCTACTGAGCCCCCATTGTTCAGCGGCTGGGCAGCTGTCAGGCCATTCAGCCTTCTATTTACTCAATGCGTACCCTCAACCACAGAGCTCTGGGATGCTAAAAACACCTGTCACAAATATTTCAAAGGGGCTGTTTTATGTCACCTTTTTCCTCTTGAGTCCAAAAACATTGAATTCATTTGACAGTATAAAGCAGGAAAATTAGAAGAGTTAAATGATGTCTTTTTTTGCTTGAGACTTATGGTGAAAGATATGATGTACATCTGTAGTAGGGGGCTCAGTGAGATTGGTCACAGCTGCAGCGGCAGATTTGAATCTGGAGGTTCATTGTCACATCAACAAGAGAGGAAGACAGGTATTGGTAGTACAGGAAGCTGGTATCACCAGAATTACAGACATTTTGGACCTCTTTGCCTTCCACCATTCTTCTAGCCACAGTGTTAAACTGGAAAAGATACCCTTGAAAGGTTTGTACCACATGCACTTTGAATTCATGTTTGCACAGTTTATTTAATAATGGAAATGTACCACAGATACGATAAAATATATTTCCATGATGTGATGTAGTATTATTTCTTTTTTGCAGGGTAAGAAACTTCACTGTTGAACTATTTTTTCGGCTTAGTTAATTAGTGACAATAACTTTTAAAAGACAAGTAATACAATTCTTATTTAAGATGTTCTGAATAAAAAATTAACACTTTTGATTATAACAAGAAAGAGGAATTAGTTAAACCTAAAAACATCTTGGATGATTTTATGTCAAACTTAACTTGACCTGCCCATTGCATTCTTTTATCAGATAATAAACCATATATATTTAGTCATCAATATTATCTTTACATTCTGATATTTTGGAGTTCAAATTCATAAGAGTTCACTGAATATCTACTGTCATGATGCTCTTAAAGTTTCATTTTTACTATATATTAGCGCATTGATGATGGAAAAAAATGACTGGTGTGCATTGAAGTCTAGTAAGTCTTAAAGCCCTCTCATAAGCATTGTAGTTTAAATACATTAAAAGAAATCTTTCAAGCAAAAGAGACAGTACCTGATTTTGACACATGATTTCGTTTTATGATACAGCGTTGATATTATGTTCAGCGTATATTGAATCTTTTGCAAACTCTGAAATGCACCAGACAACAAGTTATGTTCCTCCCTTGCTGAAATAGGGAAATTTTTCACAGGATTACCCAGTTCAAATGTAACCATATTGCAGTAATACCAGCTCAAAGGGAATGCCTAACAGAGGAATAAGTCTCACTGAATGATGTTTTGATAGAAAGATATCTTGATAGTGTACCATGTTTGTACTGTGTAAAGATACATGTCCTGGCCGCTCTCTTGCTGTCTAGCCTTGTTAATTAAGCTGTTTCACAAACTGCATCACTGCAGGAATGGTTAAAGCTCCCGGGGGTTGATGAGATTTAGCCAAATAATGATACTGGGGGATTGATAGCTGGGAATGTTCAAGCAAATACAGGGAACCACGATAATGCTGAAGTTTTTTGGCTGATCCAATTTTGTCACATTCCTTTTTGTATGAAACTTTTTCACGTTGATGGAATT